GGAAGGCTGAGGTGGAAGGATCGCCAGAGCCCAGCAGGTTGAGGCTGCGGTGGCCATGAGCGTGCCACTGCACTCCAGCAGGGCGACAGAGTGAGACTCCAACTCAAAAAAAAAAAAAAAAAAGAGCAATGCCAGGGAGGCCCTCAGCAGAGAGATTTCCCGAGTGTGAAATGCAGGGCTTCTGCAGATAGAGGTCAGCTGGCCTACAGCGAGGGGCTTTTGCCGGGGAGACATCTGTGACCCGTAAAGGAGCCTGTCCTCCTCCCTCATTCTCTTCATAAGGGAAGCTGTAGTTAGCTACATTGTTCCCTCTGTTGTTTGATTTCATTCCTGAAGGATTGCCACCGACTCCTGTCCAGCTGCTCTATCCAGTGTCCCGATTCAGCAATGTCAAGTCTCTCCAGCACCTTTGCAGGTTCCGGATCCGACAGCTCGTCAGGATAGATCACATTCCGGACCTCCCACTACCTAAGTACAGTGGGGTTGTTGGGGTTGGGACAGGGCTGAGGGTGAGTTAGAGATGTCAGCGAGACCTACAAACTGTTTCCCAGGCAGAGCCTGGCATGAGGTATATTCACAGGCACCTCTATGTCTTAGCACCTCATTCTAGAACTGCCACACCACATCCAGAGGGAGGACAGGTATGTGTCAGCCACCCTGCTGCAGGCTCTGTGGAGAGTGGAGTGGAAGAGTGAGGGTGAAGAGGATGGGACCATTGTAAGTGAGCAGACAGGAATACAGTCAGGTCAGCAGAGTCCTTGGGATGGTCTCAATTGCTTAGGGAATGAAGAGTTGAACAGAGAAGGTGGTTCTTTTATATTCTGTGTGAATAACCCTTTGTGTATGTACCTTGCTTGTTTTTCACAGACCTCTGATCTCTTATATCCGAAAGTTCTACTACTACGATCCTCAGGAAGAGGTGTACCTGTCACTAAAGGAAGCTCAGCTCATTTCCAAACAGAAGCAAGAGGTGGAGCCCTCCACGTAGTGAGGGGCCTCCTACTGGTCACCACCAAGGGTATGTGCTCTCAGCCTCAGTGCCCAGCCACGTTTCTTCCTGGGTGGGCAGCATGCATTGAGCCTTGTGGAGTTACCAGGTCTGATCATGGAGTCCCCTGGGGCACATACCCCATTTGAGAGAGCACCAGACAGATGTGAAAGACTTAAAAAATATTTGCCAGCTGGGCTTGGTGGCTCAGCCTGTAATCCGCGCTTTGGGAGGCTGAGGTGAGTGGATTGTCTGAGCCCACGGGTTCAAGACCCACTTGGGCAACTTGGCGAGACCTCATCTCTACAATAAATCAAAAGTTAGCCAGGCGTGGTAGCGCGCGCCTGTAGTTCCAGCTACTTGGAAGGCTGAGCCGGAAGGATTGCTGGAGCCCAGCAGATCGAGGCTGCGGTGGCCAGGAACAGCCACTGCACTCCAATCTGGGTGACAGAGTGAGGCTCCAACTCAAAAAAAAAAAAAGAATATTTGTCAAGAGACAGGCAAGCTAATTGCTGAATATAAGCAACGAGGGGAGCACACAAGTGTAGCCTTTAAGTGTGCAGCCTTCTGTCGGACTGATGTCCCAGATGTTGCACAAATGATATATAAAGCAGGAAGCCAAAGGGAAGAACAGTGCATAAAAGGGAGCACAGACATGCCTGTGATTGCAGTAGGCACACCCTGTAGGAAGAGCACCACCATGTCCCATAGCTCATACTGTGGAGACAGGAAAATAGCCCACTCTGTCAGTTGTTCAAGAGAATAAATGGATAACTCAGGAATTCATTTGCCTAAGAGGCTCTTCTCCTATAGCTGCACTAACTGAGCTCTGCTCATTTGCTTTCTCATAAAATGTCTTGGAGTACTGGTTTGTGCAGATGAATTTTCGTTAGTCTTTTAAATTGTATTAAAGTGAACATTGCAAGGCCAAGGCGAGTAGGGGTCATAGTTCCAGAGAGCCATGGCTTTGGTGGAGCTGGTGATGAGCAAATCAACTGCCCTATGTGGTAACCACTGGCCTTCCTTCTCACACCATCCACCACACAAAGGGAAAAGGCCTCAGAAACAACAGCCTTAGGTTGTTGAAAAGGAGACTAAAACTGCTCCACCCTCTCTGTTCTCTTGCTAACAGCAAAGGGTGACACTGACACCTGGTGTTCAGGTCCCATGGGTTTTTTGGAACCGTGTGTCTCCTCTTGGCTCTGGAAGGCCCTGATGCTATGCTGTTGGGGGAAAGCCTGTGAACTGGGATGGCGGGGATGGCAAGGATTAACAAGGGAGAAGGAATGAAGAAGCGAGATCAAGAGATGACAGCTTGAGAGCCTGCAGAGTTTTCACTTAAAGGAACCTGAACTGGGTGTACCACCTCATATCATTTCTTCAGTTACATGCCAATTGTGTACCTTGTCATTGATTTTTTTAATTTTTTTTGAGTTGGAGTTTCACTCCGTCGTCCAGACTGGAGTGCAGTGGCTGCTCCCGGCCACCGCAGCCTCAACACACTGGGCTCCGGTGATCCTTCTGCCTCAGCCTTCCGAGTAGCCAGAATTATAGGCGCACGCTACCACACCCGGCTCATTTTTGATTTATTGTAGAGATGAGGTCTCGCCAAGTTGCCCAGGCAGGTCTCGAACCTGTGGACTCAGGCAGTCCACTCACCTCAGCCTCCCAAAGGCGTGGGATTACAGGCTGAGCACCGAGCCCGGCTTGATTTTTTTTTTTAGATGGGTTTTACTGTGTTCCCCAGGCTGTTCTTGAACTCCTGGTCTCAACCGATCCCCCTGCTTCAGCCTCCCAAGTAGCTGAGGTTACATGTGTGTGCAACCTCACCCAGAAGAAGGGACTTTTAGAACATCTAAGTGCTGTTATATCTAGAAGAATTTCTGTGCATGGTGGCTTGCAGTTGAGGTTAGAGTGGGCAGGCAGAGGGAGAACTGGAGAGGTCTGGCTACCCGACTCACCCTGAGGAGTCATTAGGATATTCAGGTTGCTCACCAGCTCTGTGGGTGCTGGGTCCTAGCAGGAACCCACACTGGCAGGAGCGCATTCAAGAGAGGGCTCAGGAATGGGGAGTCCAAACTTCATAGTAGGGCATAATGAAGGGAATAGAAATGTGATGACTTTGGAGAGAGACATTTTAGGACAGGATGGTGAAAGGAAGTATTGGGTGGGTTTCCTAAGGAAGAGTGGTTGAGTTTATTGTGTGGTTTCTGTGGGCAGGACAAGGACCAAAATGAGTGTAAGTTTGAGAAGCTAGGTTTCAATCCAACTTCAGAAAAGCCTTCTTAACGGAGAGGTCCAAAAATAGGATGGTTTTCCTCGAGAGTGTTCATTCAGCAGATGTCTGTATGTTAGTTAAGCACTCAGTGTGCATTGGGACTGGCATGCTGAGCAAAGACAGCCGTCGCCCTGTTCCCACCAAGCTTCCCTTCCTGTAAGGGTAGACAGACAGCCGACGTGTAAGTGAATAAACAGGCTTGCTTCAGATGACCGTTGGGTTATGAGGAGAGTTAAGACTGAGTGAAGCTGAGTGATGGGGATGGGGTACTCCTCAAGTCTGGATGATCAAAGAAGTCTCAGAGGAGGTGACATTTCAGCTGATGTCTGATTATCATGGCATCTGTCAGGGGAGGATCTGGGAGCCTAGCATTCTGGGCAAGGGGACCTCTAAGTGTAAATCCCTGCTGCAGATGGGAAGGAGCCTGGTGTGACTAGGAGCGGGCCTGGGGTAGATTTGCCATGAGTGTTGGGGACAGTCTTGTGTTGGCAAAGGTTTGAACTGAACTTCTAGGATCCCTTTTTGCTGTGACCTTAGGATTATTGCCTGAGACAAAGAATAAGCAGAATGCTATACTTGCTCCTGATGTAGACCCTGGGACCCCTTGAAAAAATAGTAGTGATATTTGTCAAGGGAAAGGTCGTCAGGGTATGAAAGCTGTTCTTTCTGACTTCTTGTTGATCAGGCCAATTTTAGTCTAGCAGTTCTGAATGGCCCACTTGGTCTGTGTGTACTATTACCTGGGAAATTTTGTGCCAGGGCACTTGGAGTCAGGTACAGAGTAATGACAGGGACAGTGCCTGTCTCACATCAAGGAGGAAGCTACACTGGCCTTTGATTCTCTGTCCATCTTCTTAAGTAGCCAGAAGCTGTAAACACAGCTGTTTCTAGCCCAGCTCACAAGGGGTTACCAGGGGCTTAGTTCCCTTTTTAGACCCTAGAGCAGGTAGGCCTTGAGAACATGCGAGCGGGAAACTGAGGGGTCAGGGAGGGGAAGGAGAATGCAGGCAGTGTGGTAGGATGTGTTTACTAAGTATTCCAGGACCTTGCTGTGGCGTCCAAGTCATAGGCTACTCACACCCCCAACAGCGGCCACTGCCTTGTCCGCAGCCAGTGCAGAGGTTGGCTCTCCAGGCTCCCTTCCTCTGGGCTGGCTTCTCACCTCCAGGACTGGGCTGTCCTGTCGCTCCATGTTGGTTCTCTGTTGAGCTCTTCTGATTTCGTTTCCTTTTTCTTCTAGGCATTTGGTTGCCAAGCTCCAGTTTTGAAGAACCAAATGAAGCTACCGTAGAAAGAAGAGAGGGAACAGGAAGGGCTGGGATTCTTCGTGTAGAGACTTTGCTTCTCCTGCGTGGCCCTGGGCCTGGAGGAAGCACACAGCCATGCTGTGAGCTGGCCTGCCGTTCACACTCACTCTCGAGGGGTCCTGGAACTGGATGAGCTCCTTGGAAAACTGGAAAAAGTCTCAACACTGTTTGTTTTTCAGAAGTTTTATTTTGATATTTGCATTTCTTGATATGGAAAACTCACCTTGAAGGCAGCTGGGGTTTGTGCCTGTTGGCTTGGAAGTGGTGCGAAGGGTGAGCAGGTCCAAAGAAGAGGGGAGAGAGGAGGTCGTTCAGCCAGGGCCAGAGGCAGGGAGTCTTCACTGGACCTTGGAGGAGGAAACAGGATGGGAAGTTCTTGAGGGAAGGAGAGCCTGCTTCTCAGCGCCACGGTAGCTTCAGCAGGCGCAGGCGAGGAAGGGGTGGGTAGTCTCAAAGGGAAGGTTGTTGGACAAAGACTGGCAGGTGGCCTTTGCTGGGGGATGCCGTGGCTCCCTGCATCCTTTCCTTTCCTTAAGGTTTAGGAACCTGATTGTAGAGTTGCCTCTCATGGAATACTTGTTTTGTTGTATGTAATTCCTTAAGCTCTGTGACCTGAAGTTAACCCCATTCTTCCTCCACCCTCATTCCCCCTGGAGGTAACTGTACATTTCACTCTGGTCATGGAAACATCATCCCTGTTGCTTCTACCAGCTGTCAAGGCAATAGTGTTTCTCATCACCTGAGCATCTCAGGGCAGGTCACAGGCCTCTGGGGCTAATGCAGAGCGTTTCCAGGTTCTCCATGGCAGACCACACGCCTGTTTTGGGAGTCAGCATTACTTCTGGGCGTCTGCCAGCTAGAGAGGGCATGTGGAGGAAGGGAAGAGAGGAGACTGTTGGAGAGGGGCTCTTCCTTGAGAAAGCTCTAATGATGCAACCCTGGTGGGACTTCCTCAGACCAGAGGAAAGTGTCGCATCTCATGTTGGGGGTTCCCATGTTGTCCCACGCCTGGGGCAGGAGAAAGCAAGGGCTGCTTTATTTTTCTGTGTTCATCCAGCAGCCCAAGCATCTCCTGATCACATCCTGTTGGCCCTCCATCCACGGGAAGTCAGGTGCTGGTTGCATCATCTTCCAGGTGATGGGGAAGGGGGAGAGAAGCCCCACTGGTCTTTCCTTGTTGGTGTGATAGCCATTGCCAGGTCATGACATGAGTTTGTTCTGCAGTTTCTCTGGGGAGAGATGAGACACTTGAGCGGTTGGGGCTTACTCCTGATTTGCAGGAAGTGCTCCCTGAGGTGGCCCTTCTGGTTCCCCATGCTGCTGTCTGCCTCATCTCACAAGATAAGGGATATTGTTGGGTTTGTAGCTTCCTGATGGTTGTGGGTGAGGTCCAGTATCTTGGTAATTTCTAGGACTGCCTCATCCAAGAGCCTTGGCCTTCTGCCTTGTGTCCTTGTAGCTGAATAGGGAGGACACTGGCATTGTTACCTGGCTGTAAAGCAGTGACCCACAGGATGGACTCGGCAGCATAAATGCAGCCCACCTCTGGTGACATCATACCTCCTTCTCCTTGGCATCCATGGCAGTATTACCAACAAAGTAAGACTATCATCCTAGAAACTGACCTGACACAGGAGACTTGCCTCTTTAGAGTGCAGTGACGCATCATCTTGCAGAAAATGCTGCCCCACAGGGAGCCTGAAGTCGAACCCGCTGAGATCTTCAGGACACTCATACGCAGCCTGGAATCTCTCTCTCTCTCTCTCTCTCTCTCTCTCTCTCTCTCTCTCTTTCTTCTCTCTCTCTTTTTGGTCTCATTTCAGCCACCCATAATTGTAAAATTATATTTTGGAGTGTGTTTGCCTGATTCTGGGCTAGATTCTATGGAAGACGTGCTCTGTGGCCTAAGGGAGCTCTTAGGTAACTGCCACACTTGAAGCAACTAGAGAACAACTCGTTGTGGCAAAAAATCAAGGACTGTCTTAAAAGATGTTTAGAGTGGACCAGACAGTCAGAGAGAGCTCTGTGCCCATGAGGCTCTGAGGTGTAGGCAAGAGCGAGGCAGCAAGATGAGAAACATGAACAAAAGGAAGCAGAGATTTGCATGGGGTGGACTAAATAGTGCACAGCCTGTTAGAGCAGCATCATTAGAGTCCTTCAGGGCAGTGGTCTAGACAGAAACTTCCCAGCCTCTGCAGGTCTGAACACTGAGGGTTGTGCTGAGGTGGAACCCAGAGCCTGACTTCCATAGGACTCCTGTCCATCACCAGGGGCCTCACTGTGGTCAGCTTGGCTGTGTGAGGAGGGAGACAGAGCGCCTGCCTCCCTGTGGGACTCAGGTTTCTACTGGAGGACTCAAACACTCAGGTACAAAACCCAACCAGCCGAGGAGGTGACCCAGCCTCACCACCCACCTGTTTGCTCCTGGGAGGTGGTGTCTCACTGTGTCTGGGATCTGTCTGTGCTGTAGTCACAGCCTAGGTGTGACTCCTCAGTGGAGTGAGCTGCACAGAGTGGCATGAGAGGAGACAGTGTTTGTCGGGCTTGGTGTTTGGTGCCTGTGTGGGTGACCTTGTGTAGAGCAAGGTGGGCAAGGGTAAGGAGGCAGCACAGGGCTGGGCCAGTTATCTGGGGCATAGCCTGGTTGGAGAATAACCAAGCAGGACAGGAGGGTGGGGTGGTAGGCAGCTCTTGCTCTCTCCTCTGCCAGTGCCTTGCAGTCTCTGGAGGGAGCTCCTGCCTTTTAGGTGGTTGTATTTAAGGCATAAACTAGAAAGGCTGTCACTTCTAAGAACCTGCTGTTGATTACTGAGTTGTGGGCGGGTGATGCCGGTCAGGCACTGCGTGTGTGACCTTCACTGTATGACTGAGCTACTGTAAACTTCCTCAGGTTGGGTGTGAGCTCATGACTACTGCTACGACTTGCTACTACTTGAAATGCATGTGCTGTGTTGGGGGCACAGGAGTGGGTGGGCACGGACCTTGGGGGTACTAGATGAGTGGGTGGCAACTGACTCTGAAAGGAGTTTGGGACCATTGGCACCTGCCTGTGCCTTGATAAAGTGAATGTAACACCTGGAACAGCAGGCACGGCCTCCTAAAGAGAAGGGTGTGACTGGGCAGCTCCCCCCACGGCTCTTTTCTCATCCTCCTCATTGGGCTGAGTCTGGGGATGCTGTGGAGATCACTATGGATGCCTTATAAGGCTCAGCCAGGAAGAACAAGGTCCCAGACCCAGGGGAGAAAGACTGGAGTAGACTCAGAAATGCCCTGGGTGCCTACCTCTCCAGCCCTTGTCCCAGGTCCAGGACAGCTGGACCTACTTGAAGCCCTCTGGTCCCAGCAGGAAGTGGGGAGAGGAGGAACTTTTCCCTAACTGAATCCTTCCCTTCCCTGCTACCTCTCCCTTAGATTGGGAACCCTGAAGTTAGTGGATGAGGTCCTGGGATATAGCTCAGTGGCTGCTGGAAGGAGGTCTGAAAGTGTATGTGTGTGCGTGTGTGTGTGTGTCTTCACTTGCAGAAGTCTAGCTACCAGTGGGGGTGTTCTCGGTATCTCCTCTGTGGGAAGACCCGGCATTTGTTTTCCACTTGTAAGAGAATGCCGTGTCCCCATCCGCAAGGGAGGAGCATTTGAGTTAGACATTTTCCCTATGGGAATCCTCATGGTTGGGTTTGTGGGAAAGAGGGAGAGGATAGGTGGCGTTTATCTCTGCTCGTCGACACAGCTGTTCTTACACTGGATTTGTGCTATTGCATACATGTAGCCTCTTCCTGTTCACTGCAGCAGTGTTTATCAGTAGTTCAAAATGATTTATTTGCTCCTGGGGAGTAAAACCTTTTTTATTAAAAAAGAAAAAGAAAAAAAAAAAAGAAAAGTGTGCCCCTCCTACACTGATAGCTATAGGAATATTGGGCCGCAGAGGTCAAGTCTGCATGTCCCTGGAAGGTCCTGTTTTGACATCAGAGCCTTCATGCTCAGCACAGAATGACAGGAGGCCTTGAGAACACAGCCACGTTCTGGGAGGAGCTGGCCAGGCTGGGCCGTAGAGACAGGTGCTGGGACTCGTCCTGCAGTTAGAACCTGGAGAATGAGTTGTACAGAAAAGACTGATTGTCTGTCTGCCAGAGACCTTTCTTTATGTGCAGATGTCATGTTGTCTTTGTCTTTTCCATTGCTTCTTGACCTTCCTGGTAGGTGTGGCCCCACATCTTCCCGTTTCCCTCCCTGTACCTCTCTCTGTCTTCCTTGTTTCCCCCCAGCCCATCTACCTCCTAGAAGCCAGCCCTGCATGCTGACTCATAACATGCTTCGCTCCCATTTCATCTCTAGAGGGTTTAGAGGGTACCTGGACCAACCGCTCCCTTTCCCTCCCCTCCTCCCCTCCGCCATCCCAAGAGGCCTCGAGGGTCAGGCAGAAGCAGCCAGCCATGGCGGGAGATGCGTGTTTGGTTGCAACTGGACTGCGATCGGAATTGCTTCTGGAAACAGAGTGTGAGGAGAACGGGGACATGCCTCTCAGAACCTGGGTAATCACAGACCACACCGGCCGCGCAGAGCTGCATCCTTCGCTCCCCACCAGCTCAGGTGGAGGGGGAAGGCGGGTCCGACTCCTCCGCCTCTGGTGCTCCCTTGGACAGGGACCTGCCCCCTACTCTTAGGCCCAAAACCTGTCCAGGGGATGAGCAGGGTCCAGGCGCTGCTCTGGGTGACCAGCTGTTGGAATGCCCAACTGGTGCTGCCTGTGACTCAGCCACTGCTGGACATTTTTGGTTGTTTTCCAGAAACTCGATGAAAAGGGGTGTCATTTTGCGTTCAAGTGGTTGCTCATTCGTCACCAGAAGGGAAGCCACTGCAACCACTTCTGTCCCCTGGAGCCCCCCGGTCCTCCCGAAGCCAAAGCGCGGCCTGGCTTTCGTCTTCCCATTTAGTTTCCTCCTTCACTCTTCCTTTTTGTGCTTAATTTATTAAAATAGTTGCTGTATAATTTATTTTCATAAACTATAAAAAATACTAAATGGTTAAAATAGACTTGCAGGCCAATCTTAAGTGGGGTGGGAGGGTCTGTGGGTGGGAAGGGGAGAGGGAAAGATGTTTTGATATAAACAAAACAAATGCACTTTGGGTGTGTTTTGGTATTTTTCTGGGCTAGAGGGGGTGGGTGCTGGAATGTCCCTGT